ACCCCCGGCCACCCACCCAGAAGCCCCTGGGCCGCTGCTTCCAGGACACGCTGCCCAAGCAGCCCGTGAGTCTCTCCGTCTCTCAGGCTGCCCTGACCCAACCCAAGGGGATTGCTCACAACTGGGGGGTCTGCGGGGTGAGGAGGGAGGAGAAGAGCCTCAGGAGGGAGCTGGGTGGGGGCTGGGCGCCCTGTGACCCGGTCCATACTCCCCCCCTAGTGCGGCAGCAATCCCCTCCCAGGCCTCACCAAGCAGGAGGACTGCTGCGGGAGCATCGGTACCGCCTGGGGCCAGAGCAAGTGCCACAAGTGCCCCCAGCTGCAGTGTGAGTGCCGGGCTCAGGCATGGGACCCACACACACTCCTCCTGCCCCCCCCACCCCGCCCCCAGCCACCGCAGCTTTTGTAACACCACCCATCCAACTCCTCCGCCCCGCAGGCCCTCAGTGCCCTCCCCTGCCACTCTCTCCTCTCTCTGCAGACACAGGGGTGCAGAAGCCAGGGCCTGTGCGTGGGGAAGTGGGCGCTGACTGCCCCCAGGGCTACAAGAGACTCAACAGCACCCACTGCCAGGGTAGGGCGGGCAGGAGATTCTGTGGGCTGGAGGGGCGGGCCAGTTGTCCCTGGGGGAGGTCCCAAGGTGTTGGAGGGAGGAGGTGGGGCTGGGGCAGGACCTTGAGGTTCTTGGAGCAGCTTGCTGTCACCCTATGGCCCCAGACTAGAGGGACCAAACTCCCACTTACCACAGACATCAATGAGTGTGCAATGCCGGGCATGTGTCGCCACGGGGACTGCCTCAACAACCCGGGCTCCTATCGCTGCGTCTGCCCACCGGGCCACAGCTTGGGCCCCTCCCGCACACAGTGCATTGGTGAGACTGGGGGCTTGGGTTCTGGGAGGTCACAAGGCAGGGGCTAGAGGGGTAAGGATTGGAGAAACAAGACACAGAGAAGTGGCCAAGAGTCACCTGAGATCTGGGGTTAGAGGTCACATGGGGTCAGGGACTATATGGAGTCAGGGTCATATGAGATCATGGACTTGAGTAGGAGGGAGAAAGTCTAGAGCAGCTAGAATTGGGTCAGTGGTCACAGAGGTTTCAGGAGTCACATGAGGTCAGAGTAACAGGCCCAGGGGTCATGTATATTCAGGGTCAAATGGGGTCAGGAGCCACATGAGGGTCAGGCTGGCCAGAGAGGCAAGGTCTGGAGCGGCGGGAGGAGGGATGTGGGCAGTGTTCAGGCCCAGATGCCCATGCCCATCACCGCCCCTGCAGCAGACAAGCCAGAGGAGAAGAGCCTGTGTTTCCGCCTGGTGAGCCCCGAGCACCAGTGCCAGCACCCGCTGACCACGCGCCTCACCCGCCAGCTCTGCTGCTGCAGCGTCGGCAAGGCCTGGGGTGCGAGGTGCCAGCGCTGCCCCGCTGATGGCACCGGTGAGCCTGGGGCCTCTGGGGCTAGAGGGCTGCCTAGCTGTGTGCCTGTCCAGGAAATACTCACTTCTCTGCTCCTTGCTCTGGCCACAGCCGCCTTCAAGGAGATCTGTCCAGCTGGAAAGGGCTACCACATCCTCACTTCCCACCAGACACTCACCATTCAGGGCGAAAGTGACTTTTCCCTTTTCCTGCACCCCGACGGGCCACCCAAGCCCCAGCAGCTGCCTGAGAGCCCCAGCCGGGGGCCCCCACCTGAGAACACGGAGGAAGAGAGAGGTCTGGCTTCACCCTTTCTATTCTCTGACAGACACCGAACCCCTAGACTTGACCCCTCGACTCCTGATCCATGGACATGACCTCGGAGTATAACTTCTAATACCGAATCCCGGTCCTAACCGCTGACCTCCAGAGCTGACCCTCTCGCCCTAAGCAAGATTGTAATCCCAGGGCTTAACCCCCGATCGACAGGATCTGACCATCCATTGCCCTCCAGTTCTGTTCCTCTGACCCCACAACCCCTTTGACTTCCAGACCAGGGCCCTGATTCAGCCCAAATGCTGGCCCTAGATCTGACCTTCTGACCCTGACCTAGGATCTGACCCTAGCTGTAACCTCCTAAACCTTATTCTATAACCCAAAGACCTTGACCAACCAATCACTCTCCCCATCTGTTCCCCTGACCTGTGATGCAAGCACTCCATGACCCCAGGATCTGACCCTTGACACTTGACCCAGAGACATGTCTGTTAAACTCTTAGAGCCGTAACTACAAATACCCCACTGCTGATCCCAGACGTGACTCCCTTCCCCCAGCCCAGCACTAATGGCCCCATCTCCTTCCCTTTCAGGGGTGAGCACAGACTCAGTGAGTATGAGAACCTAGGCGGGAGGGACAGGGAGGCAAAGAAGACACAGCGGGCTCATGCTGCTGTCACCTGCAGCCAGGGGTCGAGGAGCAGTCAGCACAGCAGAGCCACCCGACCGCCACCACCTCTCCTGCCAGGCCCTACCCTGGTGAGATGGGCACTGCAGGGCCAGTCCTCAAGGGCTGTCACTGCTGGGGGAAGGTCACAGCCTAGGCACTGGGGGGGGGGGGGTGACGCTGGCTGTGAAGTTTCCAGCTGACGGCCTGTGGAGAGTGGGGCCACTCTCCCACCCTCCTCCCCTCTGATGGCTGTGTTCCTGCCCCCAGAGCTCATCTCCCGGCCCTCGCCCTCCACCGTGCGCTGGTTCCTGCCGGACTTGCCCCCGTTAGAGATCGCCCCTACTCAGGTCACAGGTAAGACCCGTCCACCTAGTCCATGCCCTGGGTAAGCCCTGCCCCTCGCTTAGTTTACTTCTGTCCCTTCCTCCCTCCAGTCAATCTGGAGCTAGAACACGTATCTGGGGCGTCCTGTGCACCAGGCCTTGGGGACCCCTCCGAATGCAGCAGAGACCCCACTCTGCCATATAATGATCTGGGTATTATGGTCAGCCCAGTCTGAAATCATTTATTCCTTCATTCAACAGATATTTGTTAAGCACCTACTATGTGCCAGGCCCTGGTTTAAGTGCTGGGATACAGCAGTAAACAAAACAGACCAAAATTCCCTGTCCTTGCAGAGTAGGCAGACAACGAACAGATTAATGAATAAAAATCTAGTCTGTCTCATAAATGCTTGAAAAAAATAATAAACCAGAGAAGAAGAAAGGAATCTGGGGGTTGTGATAATAGGGAGAGTGGCAACGAGAGAAGACTTTCTGAGCAGGGCTTTAAAGATTGTTAGAAATTAAAGAGGAGAAGGTTGGTGAAAAAACATTCCAAGTGAAGTTAAGTTTGGGCAAAGCCAATGGAAACATGAAACTGGTGGAAGAGGGAGAAACCACACACAGATCAGTGTTTCTGAACCAGAGCAGGGCCGGCACATGGAGCCTTGCTAAGAGGCTTGGGTTTGATCCCAAAGGCTGTGGGAAGTGTCTGCAGGGTTTTGGGCATCATAATTGCTAGCTGTAGCTGAGCAATCGCCCTGTGCCGGGCACTGACTGAAGAGATCTACATGCTAAATATCATTTAGCCTCTCACACTCTGTGAAGTGGGCATTGTTGGCCTCCTTTTCCCATAAGAAAGCTGAGGCTCAGAGAGGTTCAGTAACTTGCCCCAGGTCACACAGTTGAGCTAGATTCAAGCCCATGTTTTTGTGGATTCCAAAGCCACAAGGGAGCTGTCAGCCTGATTGAAACCTGGAGGCTAGATTTGCTCCTGGGTGAGGGCTTGGGTGGATGATGGATGCCCTGGAGGCCTGCACTGCCTAGGACAACCCAGTGACAGCCCTGGGGACTGCGGGAGTGTGAGGAAGAGGCACCTGGGAGGATTCTCAGAGGAGGGGATGTTAAGAACGCTTAGGAGAGGCCCTCAAGGCAGAGAACCAAAAGGAGGAGGAGGAGGTAGGAGGCGGGAAGTCCTGGGACTGGTGACAAAGAGGGTGAGAGGGGTTCCTGGATCTGGCCACTTATGCACCACCATGAGGCGAGCCACAGTTCCCAGGAACCCCGCTCCTGCCTGCCTTGGGAGGGGG